CTGTACCCCTTGAATGATCTGTGGAGCAACTGTGGAAATCAGAGTGGAGATTTCTCAAAAAACTAAAACTAGAGCCGGCTGTGATGGCGCATGCCTGTAATTCCAGCACTCAGGAGGCTGAGGCAGGAGGATTGTTGCAAGTTCAAGGCCAGCCTGGGCTATGAAGTGAGTTCAAGACCAGCCTGAACTGCATAGTGGAGACCCTGTTTCAAAAAGACCAAAAGAAAAAAAACCCACACAAAAAACTAAAGGTTCCAAAAGATTAAAAGCATCATACCACAGCAATATATGCATAACCATGTTTATAGAGGCATAGTTTGTAATAGCTAAATCTTGGAAACATTCCAAATGCACATCAACCAAGGAATGGATAAGGAAGCTGGGGTGGTGGCGCACGCCTGTAATCCCAGCACTTGGGAGGCTGAGGCAGGAGGATCATTGCAAGTTCCAGACCAGCCTTGGCTACAAAGTGAGCTCAAGGCCAGCCTGAACTGCATAGCAAGACCCTGTCCCAAAAAGACAAAAAAAAAAAAAAAAAAGAGTACCACTCTGTCATAAAGAGGAAAAAGCTTGAGACTAGGTAAATGGATGCACCTTGAGACTACAGTCTTAAGTGAAATAAATCAGGTATCACATGGTTTCTCTGGTGTGAGGAATGGAAAGTGTAAATAAAGCCCAAAATGTATAACAGATGTTGTGAAATAGGAAGAAGATATTCAAATGAGTAGAGGAACTACGGAGGAAGGAGGCAGGAAGGAAGGAGAAAAAAGGAAAAAAGTAGAAGAGCGGTTGAAGGGAGGGGACAGGAATGGGGAAAAACACAAGATATATCATGTACAGGTACAAATTCCCTACGATGAATGTGATTACTGTGTATATCTAAAATGTACCAATGAGTTTTTTAAAAAGTAGTTTTTGCTAAAAACCATGAATTTTCACTTGGGCTTACAAATGCCCAATAGGCAACTCAGAGTAGAACAAGCTTGACCTTCATTTTAAAATTCTTCTCAGTTCTGCATATGGAATACAGTCTTAGTCAGTTAGAGTGCTTATCTGAAAAGTTACCAAAACAAGTTTCTTCGCCCTGAATTTACTTCGCTTATCTCATCCTCCTCCAAGCCTGAGAAAATGTACTCCAGAAGTCTCCACCTGCCTTAAACCCGCGGTCACCTTGGGTTCCAGCAGAGCCGCACACAATTGCCTCCGCCCCAAGTTATGAAGTCATCTAGGAATCGAATAAACCCTCAAGCCCTAAAGACCCCCCCACAGGACAGCCAACTTGCCCCTCAAATCATATGGGTTCCGTTGGCTCCACAAAACCAAGACTGCAAGTGGGGTGTGGCAACACACACCTGTGATCCCGGCATTTGGGAGGCTGAGGCAGGAGGAGCCCCGTGAGTTGAGGCCAGCCTGAAGTACACAGCAACTGAGGCCAGACTACACAGTGAGACTCCATCTAAAACAGAAATCCCAGACTGAGACCACAATGGACGGAATCCCAGTACCATCCTACTTTCCAGTTAAAGCTTTTGACTGTCAATTCACGCTGATGCTTTAGTTTTCAGCTCCATTATCACCCACACACCACAGCAACAGCACCATAGGACATAAGCCAAAGGGAGCGGGACAGCTTCCCCCTTGTGGGACACTGCCCTACAGGACATCTACGCCAAGCTCAATACAGCCCTCTGGGACCCATCCCCGCCTTCTCCCCGCCTGCCACTGCACTCCCTCACGCCTCACTCCTGCTGCGCACCTGAGCAATGCCCCGCCTTCTTCACCTACTACGGAGTTCTTCACAAATTCTTGGCCCTTGTTTCTTCTGGATTCATTGGTAGCAGTGTAGTCTATATCAGCCTGATTTGCAGATTTTTGGGGGGCGACAGGGTCTCACTATTAATGCAGGCTGGCCTTGAACTCACTGTGTAGCCCAGACTCAAACTCATGGTGATCCTCCTGCCTCAGCCTCTCGAGTGCGGGAATTACAGGTGTGCACCGCCCCGCAGGCTGATCTGCACATTTCTGTATAGCACACCGAGTCTCTGAGTCTGCCTCCTCCTCATCTTTTGTGGTACTGAAAAATGAGCAGAGACTTTCCCTCCTCTTATATCCACAAGCCCTGTTTTTTAGCTCTTCAAAAATTTTTTAAAATTTTACTATTTTTTTGAGCTGCACTCTCACTACTTAGCCCAGGCTGGCCTTGAACTTGTCATTCTTCAGCCTTAGCCACCTACATACTAACTTTCCAGGTGCGCAGTTTTTTGTTTATTAGTTCTGAGGGCTAGCTGATTCCCTAAACTGCACAGCTTGGACTTGATCATGACATTTTCCTGCCTCAACCTCCCAAGAATCTAGGGTTACAGTGTGTGTCACCAGGCCTGGTTGTTCTTTTAGAATTTCTGCAGGCCTAGGTGCACCCCTGTGACCCACCACACAGGAGGCTGAAGCCCAACTGCTGTGAGCTGGATGCCAGCCTGGGCTGCAGAGTGAGTTCAAAGCCACCCTAAGCTATAAAGTGAGACTGTCCCAAGATGAAAAAAATTTCTATGCCTTACGCAGGGCTCAGTCATGAACTCGGTGTTAGTAACGTAACTGAACAGGGTTAGCACACAGGAGGCCCACACCGAAACCAAGAGCTGGCAGCCTGGTGTGGGGGCACACACCTGCCATTCCAGCTCTGTGGAGGGCTGAGGCAGAAAGGTGGCACGCTGCAGCCCAATCTAGGAAACACTGATTTACTGAGATCCTGTCTCAAAAAGTAAAGGGTTGGGGCTGGGGATTTAGCTCAGCGGCAAAGCGCCTGCCTGGCAAGTGCAAGGTCGTGAGTTCGATTCCTGGTACCGGAAGAAAAAGAAAAAAAACAAAAACAAAACAACAAAATCAAAAAATAAAGGGTTGAGGATAGAGCTCAATGAAGAGCCCCTGGGTTCAATTCCCACTACCACAAAAAAACCACAAACAAAAAAGAGGAACTCAGTTAAAACCGGCAAATGAAGGGCACTCTGCCCCAGCCTTTCCTCCTTTCACCCAAGAGACCCTGGGCAGGACAAACACGCACCTTCCAGTCCCGAGCAGCCCTTCCCACAGCCGCCTGCCAGTCACCCTGCCTGTCGGCCTCAACAGGTGCCAGCGCGGAGAGGGGAAGGTGTCAGAGTGGGGCCGGGCGGACACTACTTACTTAGTGGCACTGGGGCTTGAGCCCACGCCCGGGCACTGAGCTGGGTCGCAGTCCCTTTCTTTTTTTTTTTTTCCCAGTACCGGGAATCGAACTCACAACCTTGTGCTTGCCAGGCAGGCGCTGTGCCGCTGAGCTAAATCCCCAGCTCCCCGGCCCTTTCTTTACAACAGGGAGAATCTTACTAAGTCGTCCAGGCTGGCTCCGATTTACAATCCTGTGCCACTGACATAAAACATCAGAGGCAAATCAACAGAGGGAGCGGACGAGCTGGAGTCGCTGGCCAGGCTCCACGCAGGCGCCCAGACTCAAGATGAGGAACCCACAATGCAGGCTGCAGGTTCCCTGGCTTCTGCCACAGAAGCCTCCTCAGGACCAGCCGGGAAGAGGCCTGAGGGCTGCAGGCAGAACTTGCACGTTCCAAGGAGCAGAGTGGGGACCCTGAGAGGGAGGCCGCAGAGCAGTCAGAGCTGGGAAGACCGATTTTATTGGGGGTGGAATGGAGCCCGGGAACCTATAGTTCTTTACCAGAGAGGGGTGGCCCACCCACAGGCAGAGATAACAAAGGCCCATTTTAGAGGAGAAAGGGACTTAAGATGAGTGATCTAGAATGCCTTGCCTAGAAATACTTTTAGAATCCTTGACTCTGTTTCTCTCTCTCATTCAAGGTCAGGGTTTTGCTCTTTACAGGTCTTCACACTGGCCTATGTCTCCATGCCTTTTTAAAATTCTGAGACAGGGTCTCACTAAACTAAGTTGCCCAAATTGGGCTTGAACTTGTGGTCCTGCAATTATAGGCCTGCACCACCAGGTTTGGCTAGAACTATACTTCCAAGAGGATGAATGTTGCCGGGTGCGGTCGTGGGGTATATCTGTAACCCAGCTACTGAAGAGGCTGAGGCAGGAGGATCACAAGTTTGAGGCCAGCCCATGCAATTTAGCAAGACTGTCTTAAAATAAATAAATAAATAAAAAGGGCTATATACATAGTTTAGTACTCCCTGGGTCTAACCTCCAGATACATATATATTCATTTTACTTTTAAAAAATGTTATCTCAATTGTTGCTTTACTTTTTAAAAATGAGGAGGTAGGTGTTCAAATCACAGCCAGTACTGCAGCATCAGGACTGGGGCGTTTTCCCCTTGGAGCTGTGGTCCACAGAACAGGCATGGCAGTCCACGCCTGCATACAATCCCACAAGTTACTACACAGCTCAGCCTGGGCAACTCAACTACATTCCCAGACTCTTTTATCTTCCTTTAAAAGAGGGTCCTTGGGGACTGGGGATTTAGCTCAGCAGCACAGCGCCTGCCTGGCAAGTGTGAGGTCATGAGTTCAATTCCCGGTACTGGAAAAAAAACCAAAAGAAAAAAAAAGAACCTAAAAGAGGGTCCTCTCCCTAAGTAGCTAAATTGTCCAGGCTAGGCTCAAACTTGCGATCCTCCTGCCTCAGCCTGCCAGAGTGTATTAGACATACAGGTTATACACCATCATTTGAGGCTTTTTTTTTTTTTCCTGGTACCAGGAATTGAACTTAAAACCTTGCACTTGCCAAGCAGACCCTTGTGCTGCTAAACTACATCCCCGGCTAGGCATTTTTCTTTTTTTTGTCTTTTTGGGACAGGGTCTCGCTATGCAGTTCAGGCAGGCCTCGAACTCACTTTGTAGCCCAGGCTGGCCTCAAATTCGCAGCGATCCTCCTGCCTCAGCCTCCCAAGTGCTGGGATTACAGGTGTGCGCCACTATACCTGGCTAGGCTTTTCTTTTTGTAACCTTTAGTTGTGATGTTCTCTGACACGCCGAGGCCAAGGTAGGACCAGATCCTGTGTTCCACCCAGGCTTTATTACTCAGTTTGCAGATTCTCATGCTCTTTCAAGCTCTTTATCCAATTCAGGGATGGCCTCTGAACAGCCAGCAGACTCTCCAGGCAGGTCACACACACTGACACAGGCGCACCATAGCAGTCCTACCCGCCACCCCACCCAAGAAGCCACCTGCACAGCCAGAGGGGAAGAGACTGCCATGTTCTGTGCACTCTTAACTCTTTGGTCCTGGTTGGTTTCCCCTTAGAGGTATCCAACTTCCCTCTCCTACTCAGCAAACACCTGTCTTTCTTTGGGGCTTAGCCTAGTGGACTGAGCCAGAGTATACCCACTGACCATGTGGTTAATGCTAACATAGGTCCTTTTCACTCACAGTGAGGGGATTTCTTTTTCCAAACAGATATGAAGCAATGAGGGGGTAGGTTTCCATCATTATAGAGAAGATCCACCAAATGGCTCTATGCGTGATTTTTTTTTTCAGTACTAGGGATTGAACCCGGGGCAGTTGCACTTTGCTATAGCTCCAGCTCGTCTCAGTAAGTTACTCAGGTTGGACTCAAATTTGTGATCCTCCTGCCTCAGCCTTCCAGAGTGCTGGATGAAGTTAGGGGAATGGATAGGGCCTGCAGCACCATGTAACTTTGTTGCTCTCTGCAGTTCACTTTTTAGCACAAATAACTCCTGGGTGCTCAATAAACCCATTCAGCAGCATTCCCAAGATAGCTCTCTGGCCAGGTGCAACGGGGAAGAGCACTGAGAAAGATGAGCCTGCCTTCCCCTCCCGTGATTCAGGCCAGCACGGCAGGGCAGAGCTTCCCCTGCTCAGGAAGGAAAGAGGAGGGAAGGCCAGCACCCTTCCTGTCCTAGGCCATTTCCCCAGCCCTGGCTGGACCAGAGTCCTAAAGGTTTCCTAAGTTTCCCAAATGATTGCTTGAACGTCTCCCACCCCGCCCACCAACAGGTACCAGCAACTTCTCCCTGCACAGGCAGCAGCTTCTGGTCTCCAGGGAGAGCGTGGAGGAGGCAGCAGAGAGGACTCCAGTCTTTGTTCCCCTTTTCCATGATTACCCCCCAGGAGTCCAGCAAACGAACTACTTGGTCAAAGTGGCAGGCAACGTGTCCCAGTCCAGCCTGGGGGTCAGGCGTCGGCGGCAAGGAGGAATGTGGGCACGGGTGTGCAAAGAAGTGGATCCGGGCAGGCTGGTCCTCGCTGGCGTGGGGCGTTCACAGACCCTTGTTAAAGTAGACGTAAGGCGCATGCTCTCCGTCCTTGGCCTTGACAGTGGCTTGGAGATCTGGTTCCAGATAGGAAACTGGCAATTTACTGAACAGAGGACAGAAAGGGGGTCTGAGTGTGCCACCTGGAATATGCAACAAGTTACCCACAGAAAAGGCCAATCCAAGTGTCACCTCCAAGTAGCTCTTCCTGACGCTCCCTGCTGGAATTGTCACTGGCCTCTGCCCGGCGCTCCCCTCCACTCTGGCCTGCTTCGTTCTCCCTGAGCGCAAGCCCTTGGCTACACTTCTATCCTCCCAAGATGACGGGCAAGGTGCTTGGGACGCAAACGTCCAGCAGATGACCAGAGAGAGTGCTGAAGAGGGGCAGGGGCACCTTCTAGGCACGTATCCAAGCCACGCCTACTCCTAGAGCCAGCCAGCTCCCACGGCGGGCCAACGTCCCTCGCCCCTTCCCCACTGAAGGGGGTCCCTTCACCCCCGCGCCCCCTTCTAGGACACATGAGGGCAGTGGACAGGTCTACACCACTATCCTGAGAAACAGGAGCCAGAACAAGAACCTGACTCAATTTCAAAGACCAGGCCCAGCCAGCGGAGACCTTCCCCATGACCCCGCCAGCAGGCCAGTGTCTTCCTGTCCCCTGCGACCTGGCCGGCGTGTCATTTACCAGGGTGCCACCCCTGCGGTCCCTTCTCTTTGCTGAGGATCAGGGAAGTGGTGGCAGTGGGATCAATGAAACAAAGCAGGCGACAAACAGGCAATACCATGTCTGAGGGAACAGCCCACACGCCACCGGCACCATGAAGAGGAGGCTGGAAGGAAAACACGATGGCATTCATTAGGAACCTGTCCCTTCGGCCCCGCCCACACACCATCCCAGAGCCCCGGAAAGAAGGTACTCGCCCACACCTGGCCGCCAGCGCCCCCTCCATCCACTCTTTTCCGCCGAGCACCAGGAGACCCACACAGCCCGGGGACAAAATCAGCACCCCCGCCCCTCACCCCACCGCACACCTATGTTCCAGCAGAGCAGGAACACAAGGGTGCAAGCAGGGAGCTCAGGAGGGGCCGAGCGCCGACCCCGGCTGCCCTGAGAGGAGCCACGGTTATCTGAGCCCGGGCCCTGCACAATGCCAGGCCACGTCCGCCAGGCCACGTCCGGCCCACGGCGGCCTCCTACAGTGCTGACGTGGCTGGCGTCCTGCGTCAGGCCGGGTGCTTGGCAGCCCCAGGCCAACCCGTGCCTCGCCTCACCTCCCTTTCCTCCTTTAAAAGCGCTGGAGGCGTGAGGCCCGGGGGAGGACACTGTGAGGCAGGCCAGGCCCTGCGCACACCCAGTCTGGTGCCCTCAGGAGGGTGGGCGAGAGCTCCACAGGGACCACGTGTCCCCGGAGCGCAGCTACTTTTAAAGCCAAGTGAGGGCACACAGAGCTCTGACGTGGGCAACGCAAGCAGGCGGACGGTGGGGGCCCCAGCCCCAAGCGACCCAGGCCGCCCAAGCCCTGTACTCACAAGCACCCAGACAGCGCGACCTGCAACGGCGCATGCAGCACCTTGGCTTTCTGCACAAAAACAAGCAACAAAGACCCACATGGGACGCGGTCCCTGGGGTGAACCCACGCCCGCCCCACCAAGGGCCAGCCAGCCTGCAGCAGCCAGAGGCTGGAGCCCTGGCCCCAAGTAGAGGGGCCAGGCGCCCCGCTCTCTGCAGGAGGCAGCCACTGGGTTCCACTTTAGCGAATGAGGAGGTGCTGGTGAGGGCAGCGGGGGTCAGAGCACCAGGCCCAGGGAGGGCGGAAAGGGGAGCCGCGCTGACCTTCATGAAGTGCAGGGTCTCCAGCCTCTCCATGAGGACCGGCAGCAAGACTGGAAGAGACCGGGCCGGTGCTGAGGGGGCCGGGACTCCCCAGGGTGCCTCCCGCTGCCAGACAAGGCATGGGGAGACTCGCCCTGCGTCCCTAGCAGCTCCAGGGAACACGCCTCATCGGGAAGAGCGCAGGCCACGCAGGCACAGCCCCGCCAGCCGCTGCCCCCAGCCCACGGGGCAGCCCCCACCGCAGCCCCGCAAGGTGCACGCCTGTGCCGCTAGGCCCAGAGCCGCCTCTTCCAAGTTAAAACTATCTGAAGGTTCACACAAAATTTGTATCTTGCTCTGCAATATGCAAGTTGGGGTAGGCAACACATGCTCTCTACTACTACCTGCCTGGCCCTCTTACCCCCAAATGTCGAGGGCTGTGGTTTAATGACTACTAGTTGAAGGGAAATAACTTTCTCCCTCACATCTCTGATTAATGGATGGTCTGGGAACTAGTACAGTTCTCCTGAGCTTGCAGCCTTCGTGCAATCCAGGCGGAGAAGCCTGGCTCTGGAGGCTGGGCCCCCACCACCCACCCAGGTGCTCCAGGGCCCCCCAGGGTGGGGGCTTCCCGTCTTACTCATGCCAGGAGCTGCCATGGTGATCCGGGAAATAACCACTTGGGTGATGCCGATGGCGGCAGCTCTCTGAGGGCAGAAAAGAACAGTGATCGGGAATGATGCGTCGAGGGGAAACGGCCAGCACTGGAGGGCTGGGTTGAGGTCATGGCCACACCTGAGCTACCTTCAGAACAAGAGATGGTGGGAGGAGGAAGGAAGAGGCTGGGCGTGGCGGCACACACCTGTGATCCCAGCACTCTGGGAGGCTGAGGCAGGAGGATCACAAATTGATGCCAGCCTGGGCAACTTTGTGACTTAGTAAGACCCTGCCTCAAAATAATTCCAGCACTCTGGGAGGCTGAGGCGGGAGGAGGATCAGAAGTTAGACCAACTTAGTAAGACACTGCCTCAAAAAACAAATTAAAAACAGGGCTGGGGTTGTAGCTCAGAACTAAGGCCCTGGTACAATGCCTAGCACCACAAAACAAGCAAACAAACAACAATGAAAACACAGTAAAAGGGCCTGGGGATACAGCCTAGTGCAAAGGCCTGGATTCAATCTCCAGGAGCGAAAAAGACATAAGAGGCGTGTCCCCAACAGACTGGTCCCTGAGGAGGAGACAGGTCCAAGGAGGAAGTCCCTCCTACCACTCGAAGGAAGACTCTGCTCACCTGGGAATGGCCAACCTCGTTGTGGTTCTTGTCCTTCACGGAGATGCCCTGGATGAGCTCCCTGAACAGAAACAAGAGTTGCTGACTTAGAGAAAGGGGTGCTGGGAGCCACCCAGGCCATGTAACATCCCCGGGGACGTGGCCAGGGCCCTGCTCTGGGAAGACCCCCTGCAGCCCGGCTCCCTGACCTCCCTTCTTCACTCCGTAAGTGGCATCTCAGGAGGGATCTGGGGCAGAGGCTAAGGGAGCTGGCCCTGGGCCCACACTGCCTCAGGTCATTCCTGCAATTGCAGAGGGTGTGCCTGACCCTGAGTACAGTCCTTAACCTTTCCAAAGCCTCAGTTCTCCTCATCTGCAGAATGGGAATAATCCTGACACCCACTTCAGTGGACAAGGTGAGGAGTGCACGAGATAATGCCAGACAAGAGCCTAGCCCAGCCGCTGGCAGAGCAACCTCTCCCCAGACAGAGCTACTCTGGCTGTTCTCAGCCACCTCTTGAGGAACTGAGACCAGGGAGCTGGGTGGCTTCGATCGTCTGCTAGGCAAGAGCGGGGCTGGGGAAGGAAGAGCAGAGCAGCAGCTTGCAGGCCTGCTGCCCCGGAGGCTCTCAAAGGGCAGCTGAGGCCCACTCTTGCTAACGAACAGCAAGAGATCGGCTCAAGGACACAGACACCGACGACAAAGGCGGCAACGCCAGCTGACCCTGACACAGTGCTGCCGCCTGGGAGCTCCACACGGACTAAATCACCAAAACCGCAGGCGGAGGTTTCACACCCGAGGCAAGAAAGGAGCCCAGGCTGGGGTCAGCGCAGTGGCGCAGTGCTGGCCTAGCATGCATGAGGCTCCACCCCAGTACAGCAGAGAAATAAGTGAAAATGGAACAGAATGGTGAAGGCTGGGGATATAGTTCAGTGGCACAGTGCCTGCTTGGCAAGCACAAGGTCCTGAGTTCGACTCCTGGTACCAAAAAAAAAAAACACAGAAATTCCAAAACAGAATGGTGAGCTTCTCCTCTACTTTTCCTACTGAAAAGATGAGAACTAGGTGCCTGGAAAACACCAGTCTACTCCCTGGGCTCTTCCCAAGCTTCTTGGTTCTGCTGCACGGTTAGGTGCCCTGCTCTGCCAACATTCATTCAGAACACAGCCCTAGTCTCTGGCAGCAGGCAGAGTTCACCACGCTAACACAGCTGCAATTGAAAGGACAGGATCTAATTGGGTGTGGTGGTGCGTACCTGTGAACCCCTCATTTAGGAGGCTGAGGCAGGAGGACTGCCATGGGTTCGAGGCCAGCCTGCACCACATAGTGAGTTCAAAGCCAGCCTGAACTACCCAGCAAGACTCCGTCTTAAAAAACAACAGAAAAGATAGGATCTGATACAAAGGCCCACGGGTCTACCCTCCCTCTGCCCTCACCACACAGGAAAGCATGCCCAAGCACTTGAGTGCCGACCCACCAGGTCACCTACAACTCCCAGGCATCCCACGGGTGTGACCGGCCCTCTGGGACCCTTCGGAGGCTCAGCCTGGGGCCTGTGCCCTGCTGGGGCCCCTCCCTTTCCCAGCCAGGGGCTCTACTCACTGCTGTCGCATCATCGGGATATTGACACAGTTCGCAGCAGCCACTGCAGCGAAGGGCACCCAGCGGCACACCAACGGCGGAGCTCTCTGTTGGGGACAAGGTCAAGAGATGCACTCAGATGGAGTGGAGGGGGCTTCAAAACTTAAATCAGAAAGAGAAAGAGACCTCGCTACCGCCATACATCCACTCAGTCTGAGGACCCCAAACTCCGGCAAACCCAAGAAGGAAAAGCCAGGGACAGCCCTGCAGTTTTCCCTGGACTCTGCTGCCCCCCAGTGGCCACCGCGCCCGCTGCTGCCCCAGACCACACCTTTGTCAACATGTTCATGCCCACAGCAGTGGCCACTGCGGTGGTGGTGGCTGTGAGGTAGGAGAAGGCCATCTGCCTAGGGGAAGAGAGGGGTGAGGGCTGAGGGGCTGGGGGAGGGACTCGTGCTCCACCCCAGCCTCATCCTGGGCCCCCAGCCCTCACCCACGGTGGCCAGCCCCTTGGCCTGGTCAGTGCTTTGAACAACACAAGTCTCTCTGTTGACCAAACGGCCCGTGCTGGTGCCCCCACAGCCCAGGAACGGCTCCCTGGGCTCCGGCGTGGCAAATCCATGCCCCTCGGGACACAGCTGGAACATCACCTCTACAGAAAGGACTTCCTGCCCAGTCTCAGCCTCTACGGCTCCGGCTGTCCCGGCGCCTGCTTGTGTCCCTAAAGGCAGCCGCCCTACTCTGAGGTTATGCGCTTGTCTCCTGAAAAGACCTTCAACTCCCCCCGGGGCGCAAGGTCTTCTTGTCAAGGAGTCGCCAGGTCCCAGGATGCCGCCTGGCACGTAACACATACCCTTGAGAAATGGGTTGAATGAATGAATGCATGAACACAGTTTGAGCGCGTCCTGGAAGAAGATACTCCCCTGGTCAGGCAGAGAAAATACTTCCAGGCCCTGGAAAAGGGCAACTCGCCCACCTGCTCACTGTGGCCCCACCAGGAAGGAGAAGCAGCCAGGGCCCAGGGCCCCTACCTGACCGACGTGGGGGAGGCCGCGTTCCTGTTGGTGTAGTTGACCAAGGCATTGAAGGACTGGTTCACCCACTGCCAGAAGATCACTGCTGGCATGGTCCTGCCGGGAAGGAGGTTGGGAGAGTGGAGGATAGGACGGAGGCCGTGGAGCTCACCGCTCACCACTCACCACACGCACCTGCACCGCCCTGCACCCAGCTTGCAGACAGGCGGGCTGAGCCCTCACCTGTCTCCTTCCACAGAGCAAAATCCTGCTGCTCGGATGACGTCACTTCCTCCTTGGAAACTTCGGGGGCCTTCTCTGCCCTCCGGACATACTCAGCCCCTCCATGAGCCCTGCTCCACTACCCCAGACTCTTCCCCCAACCTACCACTTACTTCTTGGTCGCCTCAACCAAGCTCCCTGGGGCCAGAGACTACAGCCCATACTCCCAAGCCAGCTCAACAGCTGAACAGCAGATGGCAGCGGGGGGAGGGGAAGAGTCCCACCCAGGCTACACAGAAAGTTTATTTCCTCCCAACTACCCAAGAAAAAGGGTCTTTCTTCTTTAAACTTAAGTATTACATCTACAGTATAAAAATAATCACACTGTGATTTTGTTTTGTCTTTCCTGAGACAGGCTGGCCTTGAGCTCACTTTGTAGCCCAGACTAGTCTCGAACTTCCAACGATCCTCCTGCCTCAGACTCCTGTTTGTTTTTGTTCTTTCAGACAGGGTCTTGCTACGCAGTTCAGGTGGGCCTTGAACCCACTATAAGCCCAGGCTGGCCTTGAACTCACCATGACCCTCCTCTCTTTCCAGTGCTGGGATTACAGGTGTGCACCACTACACATGGCTTCCTTGTGAAATTAAGTACTTATTTTTTTGAAACAGTCTCACTGTATAGCTCAAACTAGCCTTGAATTCAAGATCCTCCTGCCTCATCTTCCCAAGTGCTGGGACTACTGGCATGCACTACAACCCTAACTGGAACAAGACCACATTTACTTAGGTGGGGTGGAAGGTTTGAGACTGGGTCTCACTGTGTAGTTCAGGCTGACCTTGAACTCACTATGTAGCCCAGGTAGGTCTTCAGTTCACAGTGATCCTCCTGCATTAGTCTCCTGGGTGCTGGGATCAAAGCTGTGTGCAACCATCCCTAATCTAGAACAAATACTCTTTAAAGAAATTTAAAGCCAGGCACGGTGGCGCACACCTGTAATCCCAGCACTCAGGAGGCTGAGGCAAAAGAATCACTGCAAGTTCAAGGTCAGCTGCGCTACATAGTGGATTCAAGTTCAGCCTTAATTACACAGCAAGACCTTGTCTCAAACCACCACCACCCCTTAGGAAAAAGAACAAAACCACAGACTTAGACTAGCTTATTTGCTGAGGTCTAGTGAGGACTGCCCTTGCTTTTAAAACCCAGGTACCCATATTTCCTACTGTGTGTATCTGGACACATTACTTAGCCTCTGTAGAATTCCATCTGTAAAACAGAAATGGCGTCCAGTGGGGGTAGTACAGCGTCTATGGGCAGGGCTGCTGAGAGTTAAAGGAGGCATACGTGCAGAACCAGCCAGCATGGCACCTGCTCTCTGGTAAGCATCAATCAAGAGGACTGCCGTTACCTGCAACTGCTGAGGCTCTAGCACGCATGAGGCCCTGCACACCCGCCTGGCTCCCAGCACCCACCTGTAGAAGTGCAGCATGAAACCTGTGATGATCATGCCGCCAGGGACCTGGAAGGACATCCGCCCAATGACGTTCATCTTCTCCCCGGTGTCGGGGTGGAAGGCCGAGTCATACAGCTTCTTCGCATACAGCAGCTGCTCCACTTGGGTCCCCGGGGGCACGGCGCCCACCCTGCCAGACGAGGGCAACAGGCAGACGCTGCTGAGTTCCTTCACTTTCAGTCTCTGCTTCCCCCGGGGTCCCCTCAAAGTCACGCTGGGGCCCCCGTGCCTCCCTGACCTCTTACCTGCTCCTCTCCACTGTCACCTTGGCCCAGTCCAGCCTGCGCTCTGGTACCAAGACCGTGCGGGGGTCTGTGATGTTAAAGAAGTGCTTCACGCGCCCCAGGAAAGTGCCCTGGTCCCAACGGGGGGCATCGATGTCAAAGCCAGACAGGTCAGTCTCCATCTTGCTTGCACACAAGCCTGCAGACCTAGAGGACAGAGGACGAATGAGGGCACCCCCAAACCAAAGCCCCCAGAGGCCCTGAGCACCTCCCGCTCCCTGCCGGCCTCGTCCAGCCCCGGGCACCCAGACTCTCCGCGGTGAGCGGGCACTGGGCCGAGCACTGCGGCACCTGCAGGCACCTTGGGCGCTTGCTGGGGCCCAGCCCTGTGCCTGCTCAGGCTGTGGGCGCAACTGGAGAAAAGACCAGACGGTACCTGCCCCTGGGAACTCAGAGTCAGCCTGGAGAACCCCCGTGGAAGAGGACACCGTCCCCCGCGTTTCCGGCATGGAGATGGGAAAGCTGCTACTCTGAAATGCACCCAGCCGGAAGTTCTCCACAAGGCTGCCCTCTGATCCAGGCCTAACCACCTGGGAAGGTGGCCCAGCCTGCTAGCCTTCCTGCCTCAGCCAAAGGCAGCCCGCGAAGAGGGACTGCACATGTTGAAGAGCAGCGCCCCCTGCTGGCCAGCCTCTCCTCGGCAGGACTCCAGAGCAGGAAGCGGTCACCTCAGGGGGACACAACCTGCTGCTGTATTTACCAAGTCACTCGGGGACGGGGTGTAGCGCCGTGACACGGCACAGCCTGGTTCAAGCCCCAGCACTAGGGGGAAAATAAAGAGAAGTCTCTAGAAACCAAGACAGCAGGGGAGGCAAAAACATGGATGCCAGGGAAATTTTAGCTGTGCCGCCTACACCTGATGAGACAAACACCCAGCTAAAAACACTCTCTTGTTTTTTGTTTTGTTTTTGAGACAGGGTCTCGCTATGCAGTTCAGGTTGGCCTTGAGCTCACTTTGTAGCTCAGGCTGGTTTTGAACTTTCAACAATCTACCTGCCTCAGCCTCCCGAGTGCTGGATCTACAGGCATGTGCAACCCTGCAGGGTATAGCAACTGCTGCCAGGTATAGAAGTCTTAAAGGTTCCCCTGATTAAGAATTTTTTTTTTGCCGGGTATTGCACCCCTATAATACCAGCATGCCCATAATCCCAGCACTCAGGAGGCTGAGGCAGGAGGACTGTTGCAAGCTGGAGACCAGCCTGAACTACAAAGTCAGCTCAAGGGCAGCCTGAACTGCATGGTGAGACCCTGTCTCAAAAAGACAGAAAAGTTTATGCCATGCATAAAAATTTCCTTTTTGATTAATTTAAGGTTAAGCAATTAGTGACTTTTGATTACATCTGCAAACCCTTCAGAGCAGCACCTAGCAAGCATTTGACTGAAGAACTAGAGAGTCCCTTATAAGCCAGGATAACTGGAAACAGGAGGAGGAACGAACTCCTGGGAGTCTTGGTCAGCCGAGCCAAGGGGAAAACACATCGCAAGTATCTGAAGACACCAGGACTGCATAGGGCAGTGAGACAGAACATGAAAAGCAGGCTTTGGTCTGAGGTTGTAGGCCAGTGGCACAGCACGGCCTAGCAGCCACAAGGCCCTGGGCTGGACCCCAGCACCGCCAAATGCAAAAGCCTTTAAGAGAACACAATGAATTTAATTTCCCATGTGTTGGGTTTCAAGTACCAGGGGACCTTCTACTGTTATTGTGGTACTGGGGGTTGAACCCAGGGTGTGCTAAGACTGTGCTACATTCTCAGCCCTCTTTAATTTTTCGTACCAGGAATCAAACTCAGGACCTTGCGCTTGCCAAGCTAGGTGCTGTGCCACTGAGCTATGTCCCCGGGCCTTATTTTTTATTTTGAGACAGGGTCTCACTAAGTTGCCCAGGCTGGGTTTGAACTTGTGATCCTCCTGCCTCAGCCTCCCCAAGGAGCTGGGATTACAGGCGTGCCCCACAAGGACCTTCTTTAATGCAAGAGGTTACCTCTTTGTCTCACGTCTTTCCCAATGCTGTTCCCTCTCATTTTCACTAAATAATGCCTACTCACCTTTTTTTTTTAAGGAATAAACATCACATTTCCTTCTATACCATCTACTTACTAGATCATTTGTGGTTTTTTGTATGTTTCTAAAATAGGGTCTCACTTTGTAGCCCAAGGTGGCCCAGAACTCACTACGTAGCCCAGGCCAGCACTGAGCTTGCTGGCAATCCTCCTGCCTCAGCCTCCCAAGAGCTGGGATTATAGGCACTCACCAGATAATTTGCCTTTTAAAAGCTAATTTAAGTTTGCAACTGCAAAGTCAGGGAGTATGTTAATTTTGCTTACCAATGTCACCTTGCTGCCCAGCAGAAACACTCAGCTCCGGCTGCACAAGAGGCCCGGCTTCCGTGCGTCTGCAGGTTCAGGCTGCCCTTCCCACACAGTGAGTCCAGGCTCAAGAGCAAGCGCCGCCTGCTTCTCCTTCTGCACTGAGGTCTCTCTGCTCTCCCTGCGGGCTTCACGTCTCACTTCAGACCCCTGCCGGTCCCAGATCACTTCCCTCCTCCTCACATTGCTGTACCGCGGCGTCCAGACACCAAATCTCAGAGAGGCTGCTCTGCTGCTCACCACTCCACGCAGAAGTCCAAGTTCTCGGCAGTGAGTGCTCAGACCTAAAGGGAAGCACAGAAGTCAGGGCTAAGAGTGAAAAATTGATCAGCTGCCCCAATGTACTTTAAGGGAAAGATTTCCAAGGAAAATAGACTGGCAAAAGGAGGAAAATGAGGACAAAACCTGAAAAACCGAAACACTTAAGAAGCAAACCAAGAAGCCAGGCATGGGGATGCATGCCTGCAATCCGAGCACGTGGGAGGCTGAGGCAGGAGGACTGACAGCTGCCACTGTGATCCAGTTTGATTGCTGCAGGGTTCAAAGCCAGCCTGAGCTACAAAGTGAGTTCCAGGGCAGCCTGAAGGCTGGGCGTGGTGGCACACACTTGTAATCCCAGCACTTGGGAGGCTGAGGCAGCAGGGTTGCTGGGAGTTCGAGGCCAGACAGGGCTACAAAGTGACTTCAAGGCCAGTCTGACTGCAGACTGAGACACTGTCTCAAAAACAAAAAAACATGATCAGCCTGAACTACATAGAGACACTGTCTCAAAAAGACAAAAAAAAAAAGAAGCAAACCAAGAAAAGGGGCCTCCAGAGATGGGAAAGCACCCGGAAAGACAAGAGGCAGGAGGACTGGACAGGGACAGGGAGAGCTGCGGTCAACACCAGGTGTTGGGGGACCGCTGCAGGCTGGCACGCTGGGGCAGCCGCTTCTGAGTGGACCAGAGTGCAAGACAGGCCGGGCCTGCAGAGACGCGGCTCCCTGGCCCAGCCCCTCCCCAGGGGGTGTGGGCCGGGCAGAGTCAGGCAACAAGCGTCCATTATAGGAAGCTGAGTTAGGCAGAAATAGTATAGGCAGTCAGACAGGGCCAGGCCCTCGAAGGAGCCAGTATGGAAGACAAGGTACCTTGCAAATGGTAAGAGGGTACTTGCTGTGGGCCGGACCTCAAGACAAAAGATTAAACAATGCACCCACACCCCTCGCTAGGGAGGGACATCAGGGATTGACAGTCTAAACAGCGACCACCTTGGGGGGGTCACTGACCCAACCCCTTACGGGAAAAGCCCCTGTTCTGTATCCGAGCCGCTTGCTACGTGACTCGCTTCCCCATCTGATCCCAACGCCATGAATTTTACCTGAACAGTTCTTACTGATTGACCATAGTTTGTCCCACCTCCTGCCCACCTTGTGATTTCCCATTTTTCCCACCTTGGACCCGCCTCACCTTGTGGTTTCGCTCTATAAAAATCCTTGGAAAAGACAAGTCCCTGGGGCAACCCGCTCGGGCCCCCTTCTGTCTGTCTGTCTGTCTGTCTGACAAAAGCTTTCTTTCCCCCAATAAGTATCTTCTGCTCTTCACCTCCATGGCTCCTAAACTTCATTCTTCGGTTTTAGAGAACGTGAACTCGTCCCAGACATCTCTCGGGTTGGGAGTTTCTTCCCCTACGTCGCGTCCACCCCCAGGACTCTGCCTGTCACCTTCGCTCCTGGTCCCAACAGAGCAGAGTGCGACCAGGAAAGCGTTCCTGCCAAATGCTTCAGGAAGTGAGGGGAGTCGGCTGGCAGGCAGGGCGCACTCTGCCTCAGCCTACACAGGGCCAGGCCCAGGCTCTCGGGGCAGCTCCACGGAACAAAACGCCAGCCCCACCCTGCGGGACACACGCAGGACTAGGGAGGCCTCTGCCGCCCCTAACGGAAGAAACCACCCACTAAATTACACGAGAACCTCGGCCTCCTCAGCTGAGGGCAGGACAGAGCCACACAGCCCCCAAATCTAAACCATGTCTCTGGAACTTTTCCTCCTACACCCCCTCTCCCAAAGGGTACAGTTCCTGACTCCTGTTGTAACTGCCCACAGCGGCCAGTCCTTTGTGGCCGGCTGGACTTTCGTAAGTGCCACCTCCTGTCACTCACAGTTCTCTGTGTGAGGTCTGCTTCCCCTGACCTGAGCACCAGGGCCGCGTCTGTAAGGTGCACTGCTGTCCCCAAGTGCCCTGTGGGGATATCTGCCCCCTGCTCAAGTGCGCTCCAGCTTGCTCGCGGGTTCCCCTGGCTTCGAGGATGTTGCCTCTTCTACACCAAACTCAGCCCTATCTGGGTTACCGCGGAGCAGGCGTTCAGGAAGCTGTGCCACCTCCGTGGAGCCACAGCTGGCCCCTAGGCCCGGCTCGTTCACTCTCCAGCCTCCTGCACCGGGAGCCCGTAGTCCTCCCTCAGCACCTCATGTCTTGTCCAGGGCGGCCCCGCTCCTGAAGGACTGGGGGTCCATCGCTAGGAATAAGGTAGGAGTAAAAACCACACAGGGACTGACCGGTGCCTCCTTCCTAGGATTACAGCGTCACAGATCAAAGACACAAGGGAGCCAAAGTCTCAGCTCACTGGAGCCTGGCAAGGTTTCACTCAGTGATCACGCCAGCGCAGGGAGCACCCGGGGCCATGCAGGCCCCGTTCTAAGCACTTGCAGCAGATAAAAAGGTGAGCAAACAGACCCAGTCCTCAAAGTCCAACAGTAGCCACCAGACAGGCCCTCTGTCTAACCACAGCCTATCTGTCTTCTCCTTTAAAAAAGAAGCAGCCAAGTGTGGTGGAACTCACCTGTAATCCTAGTCCTCAGGAAGCTGAGGCAGGCAGATGTGAGTTTTGAGTTTGAGGCCAGCCTGGCTACACAGTGAGTGCAAGGCCAGCCTGAGCTCCATAGTAAGACCCTGACTCAAAAAGAATAAGGCTAGGAATGTAGCTCAGTGGTAGAGTGCAACTGAGTTTGATACCCAGTACCACTAAAAAGAAAAAAGATCGAGCAAGAGAAAAGAAATGAAGTAGCCTACTATGTCCCCTGAAATAATACTCATCCTTTCCAGAGAGAACTAATTTTCTCTCACAAACAGTATCAAAGCTCAGAGAATAGGCTTCCAAAGCCCCTCTGAGGTATCCTTTTTAAAAAAAATTTTATCAGTCCATAATGATTACATTCATTATGGGGAGCTGGTATCTGTACATAACACATCTTTTCGCTGTTGTTGTTCTTTTTGAGGCAGGGTCTCACTATGCTCTTCAGGCCTTGAACTCACTTTGTAGCCCAGGCTGGCCTCGAACTCACAGCGATCCTCCTTCCTCAGCCTCCCGAGTACTGGGATTACAGGCAAGACCTTGTTTTATAACAAATTTTAAAAAGGGTCTGGGGATGTAGCTCAGTGCAAAGGCCTTGGGTTCAAAGTCCACTACTGCCCCTCCCCCGCAAGAGGCAACACACAACATTCCTGGTACAACAGAAGGGAATCGAGAAGGCAGCCCAGCGCAGCGCGGGCTACAGACCCCTGAGAAAGGGAAGGGTTCGCGTCAAGGCTGCCCAGAGCAGGGGGGAGACAGGGTCCCAGCCAGCTCCGCTTGTGGACGCTCACCTGACTCCGCGGCCACCCTGACGCAGGGCCCCAGACGACCGACTAGAGCGCAATCCGCGCGGCCCCTCCCACCGAACAGCAGCTTTCTCCGGCTGCGTGGACCATGCGGGCGCAGGCCCGCTGCCATTCCCCGCGCAGCTCCTCCCTTGGTCAGGCTCCCAGCCGCCGTCTCTTCAAGGATCGGCTCGCGGAAAACTCTCGGGTGGCATCTCGGGTACAGTCCCTCCGGTCCTCCCACCGGGACGCGCGTTTACAAGCAACACGGGAGAGGCGGGCAGTGCTTACACGTCCTAATGCGGCTCACAACAGGTAGTTTCTCGGTTGTGGAAGGAAAACGACAGCCTGGGCGGAAGCGCTTCCTTGGGCTGAGCGCGCTTCCCCCGAGCAGACGGGCTTCGCTGCGACGCTTCTCAGGGGGTCCTCGGCCTGCGTCCCTCGGGGCCCCGCCCGCCTCCCGCTCCAGCTGTCAGCTCCCCGCCCTGGCTCAGAGCCGGGCCCGCGCTGCCTCGGCCTCCACGCGCGGCTCGGCCGGCTCAGCTTCTCGGGTGCCGCGGGGCAGGGGC